GGAACACTGGTCGGGGGCAATGTTCCCTCTAAGCTATGGAGTCCTGTGAGCAAAAATTCTACTGTGCGAGCCACTGGCATGAAAGTTGTGAGCGAGCGATTTGGCTGCTGCATCAATTAGCTTGCTCGGGAGCCCTCCTCCCTGAGCCAAGACAAAAACCTGTGAGCTGGAGGCTAAAATTCTGTGAGCTAGCTCACACCAACTCAACTTAGAGGGAACACTAGTCGGGGGCGCGTCTCTGGGCAGGGTCGCGGGACCACGCGTCGTTTGCAGCCGGGACAGCAGTGGCGCGGCAGGCAGACGTCCGACCTGTGCAGCCCCGCCTCCGGTGGGACTGCGGCTCTGCCGGTTGGGTTTCCGCCTGCTGCGCTGCTGGGAAAGGCACGGGAGGCCCAAGACCAGTTTCCCACCCAGCCTTCTCTCCCCACTCCCCCCCAATTCATTGCCTCCCCCACACCCCCTAAAAACCCCACCTTGAGCATTCTTGTAGTTTCTGCCAGACTGTCCGGCCTCAAAGGAAGGGGAACTGTAGCCCTACAGTGGTGTAGGACACAATCCTGTGAGCTAGCTCACACCAACTCAGCTTAGAGGGAACACTGGTCGGGGGCGCGTTTCTGGGCCTGGCCGCGGGAGGGGACGCGCGTCGTCTACAGCTGGGACAGCAGCAGGCAGAAGTCCGACCTGTGCAGCCCCGCCCCGGGTGGGAATGCGGCTTTGCCGGTTGGATTTCCGCCTGCCGCGCTGCTGGGAAAGGCACGGGAGTCCGGGGGAGGGGGGGGCAGCCTCCTGCTTGCAAAGCTCAACGTTAAAAACAGAAAGGAGAAGTGGGAACGGCCACCCCGGCTCTCTGTGTGTGGCCTCTCTGGTCTGGGAGGCTGGGCGATGGCCCCTCTCCGGGAAGGAACTCGCACCCTCTTCTCCACTCAGAGTCGCAAGCAGACTGTGTTCTAAGAATGCTGCTGCGCTCCTTCCTTGCGGAGGGTTGGGCCGCTGCAGGGATTCATCCCAGACGGGCAGGCCTCCCAAAGCCAGCCCAGCCCTTGGGTGTGAAGGTAGGGAGGTGGGACGCCGCCCCTTGGCCTCTTTTTCAGGTCAGGGAAGCAACCGAGTCTGAATTGCCCGCAGACCAGGCAGGGGCCCACACCGACAGCTCTAAAAGCACCCCCCGTTCGAGTGGAGACTTGGTGAGGGTCTGCTGGCGGATCACACATCCGTGCACCGTGTGGTAGTCTGTTGGGGAGCGCTATGCCATCGCTTCTCAGCCCTCTGTGCAACACCGTGAGCTGAGAAGTCAGTAGTGGGTTGGTGGTTGGATCAGAGGCTAAGCGAGGGGAACCCCTCCGGCAATACTTTCCTTTCCCACCCCACCCACAGGATCACGCCCAACAGCTGGGTTGGCCTCCCAACGCCCTCTGGACGCATCTCGGCAACCACATTCTGACATCTGCCTCCCCTGCGGGTCAGCGATAATTGCAAACATTCACAGCTGTCAAATGGGGTCGATGGGGGGGGTGGTGAAGGAGCCCCAAGCGAGGCCGAACCGCCCAGTTTCTGGCCTGGGGATCCGGCCCTGGAACAGCGGAAAGGCCAGGGCTTTGGAGCACGTGCAGAGTGCTTTCCCTTTACGGGTGCGTCCTTGCAGTGCCGTCACTGAAACAGGGCGGCAAGGCCCGGAGAGGGGGGCTTCCGGGCCCTTCGAAGCCCCGGCACCTTGTTCTGGAGTCGCAGCCCTCGAGGCAAGAGGGATGCCTTTTGCTTTCGAGATCTCCCCCCCCCCAAAAAAAAATGGGGCGCTGGAGGCAAGTTTTCCTTGCAGGGATCATGAGCAGCAAGAGCAGGGCGGAATCTGCAAAGCCGCTTTGTTTTCCTGCCCAGGGATGTGGGGGAGTTGTTTGCTGTGTGTCCGTAGCAACTGCCTCCAGGAAGACAACCCCCCCCAGGCACATTCCATATCTGCGCTGCTGGACTTCTGCCAGTGACCCACACACACACACACACACACCCCAGGTACAAAAGCACTAAATCAGCCCAAACTGTTAGGTTGCAAAAATGCTCCTTCCCTGAAGTGAGCTTGCTGAGAATTGCTGTGACCTGGCAGGATCCAAGCGAATTCACTGTGGCATTTTTGGCCTGCATTAAAGGGAGCCGGCATAAGACACACACCCCACCCCACATTAAGCTGCCTTAGACTGAATCAGATTCAGGTGGGGTTGCAGTGTTGGTTTGAAGCAGCAGGACAGAGTCTGAGTCCGGTGGCACCTTCAAGACCAACAAAGTTTAGTTCTGGGCACTGTTCCCTCTAAGCTGAGTTAGTGTGAGCTAGCTCACAGTTTTTTAGACTCCGGCTCACACCTTTTTGTCTTAGCTCAGGAAGGATGGCTCCAGAGCAAACTAATTTATGCAGTAGCCAAATTGCTCACTCACAACTTTAATGCCAGGAGCTCACAAAGTAGAATTTTTGCTCACAAGACTCCACGGCTTAGAGGTTCTGGGTAGAAGCTTTTGTGTGCCCGTTTTCCCGAGGAATCCACGCTCACTGTCTCCCGGGTGGTACCCTCCCTCTGCCATCCAAAGGGACCATCTTTGGCCAGGCCGCCCTCTGCTTGCAGTGCCTTGACCCCGCAATGGCCACCTCTCAGTCTTGGCAGCAGTGGCCATCTCTGCAGGGCTGTTGTGCTTGGCTCTGCAACACCGTTGGATCACAGGCTGGTTGACCGTTCCCTTGAGACGGAAGCCTCGGAGGGCAGGAGCGCTTCTCACGAGGAGCGCTCCCAGCCAGGTTCTCGTGTCCTCGCAGTTTTCTGATGTGATACTCCCGTTTCTCTCTCTCTCTCTCTGGTTTGCAGGATATCGTCTCTGTGGAGGACGCCGAGGCAGTGGATCCAGTAGGTGGCTTTTCTTTCTCGGAAGCAGTTGAGGCTCGGAGTCGGGGTGATCTGCATGCATGTATGTGAAGCAGGGGTGGGGGGTGAAGATTCCTTATACTGGATCAGACCCTGGGTCCATCGCGATAGATCCAGGTGGGTCGCCCTGTTGGTCTGAAGCAATAGAACAAAGTTAGAGTCCAGTCGGGCACCTTTGAGACCAACAAAGTTTTATTCAAGCTGTGAGCTTTCGTGGGTCTTAAAGGTGCCACTGGACTCTTAACTTTGTTCTATCATGGTCAGTCTTGCCTACTCAGACTGGCAGCAACTCTCCAGGGTCTCAGGCAGAGAACCGGTCTTTCCCATCACCCACTGCCTGGTCCCTTGACCTGGAGATGCCGGGGATTGAACCTGGGACCTTCCTCACGCCAAGCAGGTGCTCTGCCACTGAGCCACCATGGCCCCCGCCCATGTTGTGGGTCTCCTTGGCTTTATATGTTTGCAGTGTGGCTGAGGGATGGCCCAGTTCTGAAGTTCTCATCTGCAGGCCAGACTGCAGAAGAGAGGCTGGTGGGCAGGATCCGGCCTGCGCTTGGAGACGGGGTTTGGTGGTCAGCTGTTGGGCCGGGGCTTGCAAATAGCCACCTTTGCGCTGTTTTGCTGGGTTTGTTTCCAAAGAATTAATCTTTTGATTTGGGCAGAGGTTATAGTCAGCTAGGGGCCGCGGTGGCTCAGAAGTTAAGACACTGAGCTGCAGACCAGAAGGTCGGTATTTGGCCATTCGAGACCCGAGTGCCGCGTGATGGAGTGAGCTCCCATCTCTGACCCCAGCTCCTGCCAACCTAGCAGTTCGAAAGCAAGAAATTGCAAGTAGATAAGTAGGTACCGCTTCGGTGGGAAGGGAACAGCGTTCTGTGCGCCTTAGCGTCTAGTCATGCCGGCCACGTGACCACGGAGACGTCTTCGGACAGCGCCGGCTCTTCGGCTTGGAAACAGAGATGAGCAGCGCCCCCTAGAGTCGGATTCGACTGGCGTTCGAGCAAGGGAAACCTTCACCTTTACCTATAGTCAGCTAAGACTGCTTCCGCCTCCCAGCTCACAACTGCGTGCCTTATGTGATGCTGGGGTGGCAGCCTCGAACTCGTGGCCCGCTAAGTTCCATTCAACTGCTTCTTTCCCCTCCTTAATGACCCTCTGGGCTTCTCTGTCCCGCATTCCCCCGTTGCCCCTCTAGGTGGTGCTTTCTACCAGTTGGAACAGCCAGGGCAAGTTGCTGCACCATTTTGCCCAGCAGGGGGCACTGCGGCAGCGAAGGCAAGGTGAGTTGGCTCCAGCCAATCCGATTGGCAGGATGTCTTTTGTGGGGTGCAACGGGACGTAGGCAGCAGATAGCCCAACATTGACAGGTTTTCAACTGCTCCAGGGCTTAGCCTGGCCAGTATAGCTGCTTCCACTCGGAGACAGTTCCCTGCACCATCACCGTTGCTGCTGCAGATGCCAACAGTCCATTCAGTAGCTTTTCTCTGTCCTTTCCGTGTCTCAGCCTCAACCTCCACCACGGAACTTTTAAAAAAATCAGGCACCGCTAGATTGCTATAACCTTATAACACACTATGGCAACCATGTGCTAGATGGCAGCTTTCTGTCTTTTTTTTTTTAAGTATGTTTCTAGCCCTAGACTTATAGTGGGAAAAATGCAGCCTCCACTTTCCCCCTTATAACTCTGCAACAAAAAGGGACACAGTCTTACCTTTTTTAAAAAAAAATGAGAGCTGGGAACTAGTATGTTATTGCAGTAGAGTGCTGCAGTGCGATACCAATCTAGCAGTTTTTGATTTTTAAAAAAAATTTAAAAGCCCTTGGAAAAACTGTCTGCTGGTGGTGGGGCGATGGTGGCTGCAGGTGCAGAAGTGGGACCTGCGAAACACACCCTACATGGCTTCACCTGTCCCCCACTTTTCTCCCCGGCGGAGACCCAGAGTAGCTTACAACGTTCCCCCCATCTTCATTTTATTCTCCCAACCACCGTGTGAGGTGGGTTAGGCTGAGTGCGGACGACTGGCCCAAGGTCACCCAGCGAGCTTCTGCGACAAAGTGGGGATTAAATTTGGGTCTCCCAGATCCTAGTCCAAGTCCCTATCCACTGTACCACGCTGACCCCCCCATTCTTTGCAGTCCTTCTTTCTCACAGAGACTTAAGGCGGATTGCACAGGATAAGTCGATGGGATCAACAGGATGAGACGACTAATAAGCAATGCAATAGGATTAGGGTTAATGGTCCTGCAGCTATCAGCAGGGCACCCCAGAGAAGAGTGCAATTTCTCCATTCTTGGGGAACTCCCCTGGTATGCAGGAAGCAAATACTTTCCAAATCTATTTAAAAGACACCCCCCCAAAAAAAAAAACCAGCCCAAAGACCTCTGAGCGTGCTCATTGCTGTCTAGTATCCATTGGCATGTTGAGAGCAGTTGAGCAGGGACCTGGAAGAGCCGGGCCCATGCAAACCCCGGAGAGCTTTTGGGGGGGCTGGAGGGTTTGAAGAAGAAGAAGAGAAGAGATTGGGTTTATGCCCCGCCCTTCACTACCCAAAGGAGTCTCAGAGCGGCTTACAAACTCCTTTCCGTTCCCCTCCCCACAACAGACACCCTGTGAGGTGGGCGGGGCTGAGAGAGCTCTTGGCAGAATCTGCTCTTTTTTCAAGGGCAGCTCTGAGAGAACTGTGATCGACCCAAGGTCATCCACCAGCTGCAAGTGGAGGAGCGGGGAATCAAACCCAGTTCTCCCATATTAGAGTCCGCGCAGTTAACCACTACACCAAACTGGCTCTCCAGTTTGAGGCATGTGCTCCTCACTCCCTAAAGACCTTCCTCTATTTTGGGGGGGAGATACCAGTTCACACACACACACCCCATATCATTCCAATCAGGTTTCTGGGGGGACAGGGATGGTTTCCGGTTTGCCCTGAGCACCATTTATTTATTTATTTATTTTGGCTTTTTGTCCCGCCCTCCCCGCCGCAGCAGGCTCAGGGCGGCTCACAACATTATTACTGATAAAACAGTTTCTCCGTTGAAATTACAATAAATTAAATCTAAAAGCAATACATAAAGTGCTAGCAGGGGCACGCAACATGGCGGGGGTCCACCATCGATTAGCGCGTGGTCTGGGTCGTGTCAGCCAGGCACAGCCTATTCAGTGATGTTCCTGGTATGATTGGTGTTGTTAAGATATTGACGGTATTGGGGCCGGGGCCTCGGATGGCCGCTGCGGCCCCTTAATCGAATGCCTGGTGGAAGAGCTCGGCTTTACAGGCCCTGCGGAACTGTAAAAGGTCCCGCGGGGCCCTGATGTCTTCCGGGAGCTCGTTCCACCAGTATGGAGCCGCCACCAAGAAGGCCCCGACCCTTGTTGATGCAAGCCTGGCTTATCTAGGGCCTGGGAGGACCAGGCGATTTTGAGTACCCGATCGCAGTGCTCGCTGGGGAATGCATGGGGAAAGGCGGTCCTTTAGGTACATTGGGGTCATTGTTGTGCTCTCAAGCTAGGCTCCTGGGAGGCTCTTGTTAGGCAAGGGGGTCCCTCCCACCCTTTCCTGTTGACCCCCCAGTGGAGGGAGCGCCTGACCATCACCTGCCCCCTGCGCCCTTAACCAAGCGGCCCCCTCTCCCTTTCAGCTGCCGGCAGAGGGAAGCGTCGGTCCTCCAAAGCCAGCACAGTCTTTGCAGCGCACTACGAAGGTGAGAGGTCCTGCATGCGCCTGGGCCGGCCGCTCACTTCTCTCCCCCGTGGGTCTCCGGATTTCTGACCGTGCTGAGCAGAGGCCTCTGGCTTTCCCCCGGGCCCCGGACTCCCTTGGCGGTCTCCCTTCCAAGTACTGAGTAGGGCTGACTCTGCTTTGCTTCCAAGATCTCAGGAGGCCATTCAGGTCAAGACAAAAGACATTCAGGGGGGCTTGTCATTGCCCGCCTCTGCCTCGCCACCCTGGACTTCCTTGCTGGCCCCCCGTCCAAGGACTAAACTTCTGAGGTCTGAGAGGATGGGGCTAGCCTCGGCCATCCAGCTCAGGGCAGACGGTGCGAGGAATGGCATTTGATTGGGACGGTCCTCTTTGTTTGTATTAATTTTGTCCTGACTCTCGTTTCTTTTTGTCCTTCAACAAATCCCCGTTTGTTGTCGAAGCCTTTCACGGCCGGAGTTCATTAGTTGCTGTAGATTTTCCAGGATGTGTGGCCGTGGTCTTGGCACTGTAGGACCTGAAGTTTCGCCAGCACCTGTGGCTGGCATCCTCAGAGGTATAACACAGAAAGATGGAGGACTCTCCGTGTCGAGGTGAGAAGAGAAATGGTAGGCAGGTAATTTATATCTACTCAGGAAGGTGGGGTAGGGCTGAGTCCTCCATTAGCATGTTCACAGCCTGGGGAACTCCTACAAGAGATTGACTCAGCCCTACCCCACCTTCCGGAGTAGATATAAATTACCTGCCTACCATTTTCCTTCTCACCTTGACACGGAGAGTCCTCCATCTTACTGTGTTATACCTCTGAGGATGCCAGTCACAGCTGCTGGCGAAACGTCAGGTCCTACAATGCCAAGACCACGGCCACACAACCCGGAAAATCTACAGCAACTAATAAATTCCTGTTTTCTTCCCACTTCCAGGTGAAGATTAGAGACTTGGGGAATGTGAGATTTCTCTCACCTCAAGTCTGCCACATGATGCAAATTATATTTGTATACGTAAGAACATCAGAAGAGTTGGATCAGGCCAGGGAGGGTCCATCTAGTCCAGCCTCCTGTCTCACACAGGGGCCAGCCAGTTCCTCTGGAGGGCCAACAACGGGCAGGGAGGCTAAGGCCTTCCTCTAATGTTAAGAACATCAGAAGAACCCTGCTGGGTCAGACCAGGGAGGGCCCATCTAGTCCAGCCTCCTCCCCCTTTGGTGGTGGCGGCAGGGGGGGAGGAGGCGGTGGTGGTGGTGGCAGCAAAAGGGTGGCTGGCTCCAGAGGTCTCCAGGTGTTGAGGCCAGTGTTCCCTCTAAGCTGAGTTAGTGTGAGCTAGCTCACAGTTCTTTAGCCTCTGACTCACAGATTTTTGTCTTAGCTCAGGAAGGATGGCTCCAGAGCAAACTAATTTATGCAGCAGCCAAATCACTTGCTCACAACTTTGATGCCAGTAGCTCACAAAGTAGCATTTTTGCTCACAAGACTCCACAGCGTAGAGGGAACATTGGTCCAGGCCCCACCGGGAGGTTGGCATCCGCGCCATAAAGCAGCCTCGCCTAGGGCGCAGAAACACTTCGAGCCGGCCCTGTGGCCACATCAGGACCTCTGCTGGATTTTGAGGCTTCCGCATCTTAAGAACATCAGAAGAGCCCTGCTGGATTAGACCAGTGACCCATCTAGTCCAGCATCCTGCCTCACACAGTGGCCAACCAGTTCCTCTGGAGGGCCAACAACAGGGTACAGAGGCCGAGGCTTTCATAAGGACATCAGAAGAGCCCTGCTGGATCAGACCAGTGAGGGTCCACCCAGTCCAGCCTCCATCCTGTCTCACATAGCGGCCAACCAGTGCTCTATAGGGCCAACAATAGGGCACGGTGGCCAAGGCCTTTCTCTAAAGTTGCCTCCTTGCTCTGGGATTCAGAGGCTAACGGCCTCTGGTGGAGGTTCAGAGAGAGAGGGGGAGGATCTAAGGAAGGAGGAGGGAGTCCAGGTGTTCCCCCTCCCCAAAACCTAACACTTGTGGGTGGTAGTCAGGATGGTCATTCCTCCGGGGGGGTCCTCTCCCTCAGCCGCGGCAAGTAGGGTTTTTTGCCAGCTCACAGCCGCAAAGTGACGTTCTCCCAAGGCCGGCCTTCTGCTTGAGTTGGAATGTCCCCACCACCACCACCACCCAACTCACCAGAGTGTCTCTCTTCCAGTGCAACCCACGGAAGGCCGCGGTGGCATCCAGGCAGGTAACACCTTTTGGGCAGGGCCCGTTTGGGGCGGAGGGGAAGGGGAAGGGGCGGGCAGGGAGGTGGAACATCTTCTGCTGCTTTCCCACCGAGCCACGCATTGGGGGGGGGAGAAAAGTCCTGGGTCTCTTCTTTTTCTGCCAAGACCCCCATTCCCCTCCTTGTCCCACTCCAGACGGCAGCGGGACCATCCGCGGCTGGGGAGAGGCCAAGCTGAACACCAGCAGCCCCCTCCGCTACAACAGCAGCCGAGGGGAGTTCACCGTGCTCAAGAGGGGCCTCTATTACCTGTACTGCCAGGTGAGGGGGCTTCTCCGGGGAGGGGAGGGCACCAGGAGGTTTGTGCATCACGATCCTTGGGCTCTGTGGGTGGCTTTGGGTGGTTCGAATGCCGGAAAGGTCTCTGTTGAGGACCGATGGAGCTGTCTTATAGGTCCCTTCCGCACTAGACCTTAAATCCTGGTTCAACCCTGTCCCCGAACTTACATTCTACCAGGGGTAATTTCCTGCAGGAGCGCACAGGAGCGGAGCTCCCTTGTTATAACCAATGTTCCCTCTAAGCTGTGGGGTCTTGTGAGCAAAAATCCTGCTTTGTGAGCTACCGGCATTAAAGTTGTGAGCGATTTGGCTGCTGCATAAACTAGTCTGCTCTGGCACCATCCTTCCTGAGCTAAGACAACAACATGTGAGCCGAAGGCTAAAAAACGGTGAGCTGGCTCACACTAACTCAGCTTAGAGGGAACACTGGTTATAACAGCATCCGTTTATCCCAGGACAAGCGTGGGGCGAAACCGGGGTGAACTCAATGTAATGTGGAAACAAAAAATCCACCCAAAGAGTGATTAACACTTGGAATTCACTGCCACAGGAAGTGGTGGCGGCTACAAGCATGGACGGCTTCAAAAGGGAATTAGATAAGTATATGCAGCAGAGGTCCATCAGTGGCTATTAGCCACAAGTGATGCTCTGTCATCTTGGTGCTTGGAGGGGGGGGTCAACAGTGGGAGGGCTTCTAATGTCCTGGCCCCACTGGTGGACCTCCTGATGGCACTGGTATTTCTGGCCACTGTGATACAGAGTGTTGGACTGGATGGGCCTTTGGCCTGATCCAACATTGGCATCTCTTATGTTCTTAAAATACCCCGAGATAATTGCAGGGTGAACTCAAGTGTAGTGCAGACAGGGCTCCCAAGTACATACCTTGATTCGTCGGGGGACATGTAGTTCTTCGCGGGACCATTCCCACGGGGAAAACACAGGCGCTGCACTATTCCGTCGCCCAGACATGACGTAGGCACATAGTCGGGTGACGCTCTAGCAATGGGGCTGGAAAGTCGATGGTACCATCGAGTTTCCAGCTCCATTACCAGAGCGTTGCCCGGCTACGTGCCTGCGTCACGTCTGGGCGACGGAATAGTGCAGCGCCTGTCTTACAATCAAGAATCTTCCGGTGGGGAAGTCTGTGGGATTGAAAAACTCCTGTGAGGCATGCCCGGGAGTTCCAGTTCTCTCAGGGAGATTGGCAAGCAGTGCACAAACCCTGCGGGTCTGCTGAGTGCTGAGAGTATAAACTTGGCTACATTCGGGCAAGATAGGAGAGCTTCAGCGTTAAGAACATTCTGTTAAGAACATATTGTGATTCTAGTTAGAGGCTTCTCCTTTGTAACGTTTTCACTGTGCAGGGCAGGGGGGAGAAATGTGTGCGCCTGCTCTAAATAAAGCGCTGCTAAGAGGCAGTTCAACAGAAGAGTTGGGACAGAGAGAGAACTAAGAGCTTGGTCAGAGAGCTTCAACAGATCTCTCTGTGTTGTGTCGTTACTGGACCCTCGAATCTACAGAAGCATGTGTCCCCCGCCGGTTCATAGGTAGGTACTTGGCAACCCGAAGTGCAGAATGTAAAAATGCCCGAGATAATTACATGGGTGAACTCTCGTGTAGTGTAGAAGACAGGGTTGGATCAGGATTTAAGGTCTAGCGCAGAAAGGACTATACTGTATCAGACCCTGGGTCCATGACAGTCAGTCTTGTCTACTCAGACTGGCAGCGGCTCTCCCAGGTTTTAGGCAGAGAAAGGTCTTTCCCATCCCCTGCTTACCTGGTCCTTTTAACTGGAGATGCTGGGGATGGAACCCGAGACGTTCTGCGTGCCAGGCAGAGGCTGTAACCTCTCCATACAGGCTCCATACAGTCACCCGAGGTAGGCTGAAGGTCTTGGCTTGGAATCGGTCGGTGCTGGCTCAGGAGGGGATGCCACGCAGGTGTCCATGACAGTCAGTCTTGTCTACTCAGACTGGCAGCGGCTCTCCCAGGTTTTAGGCAGAGAAAGGTCTTTCCTGTCCCCTGCTTACCTGGTCCTTTTAACTGGAGATGCTGGGGCTGGAACCCGGGACGTTCTGCGTGCCAGGCTGTAACCTCTCCATGAGCGGAGGCTGGATGACCCTCTTTCGGGTATGTTGTAGGGCTATCTTTCCGCTATGCTCCTGCAGAGTGCCAGGGGTTGGACTAGACGACCTGCGAGGTCCCTTCCAACTCTAACATTCTATGATTCTGTGCTGTCGGGGAGCCCGCAAACAGAGCGCAAAAGGCACGCGCCGCAGCTGTTCATCTTCTTTGGTATCTGGTATTTTGAGATACACTTCCCCTAAACATGGAGAGCCAGTTTGGTGTAGTGGTTAAGTGTGCGGACTCTAATCTGGGAGAACCGGGTTTGATTCCCCCACTCCTCCACTTGCACCTGCTGATGTGACCTTGGGTCAATCACAAGCTCTGGCACAGCTGTCCTTGAAAAAGAGCAGTTTGTGTCAGAGTTCTCTCAGCCCCACCCACCTCACAGGGTGTCTGTTGTGGGGAGGGGAAGGGAAAGGAGTTTGTAAGCCGCTCTGAGACTCCAAGTGAAGGGCGGGGTATAAATCCAATCTCTTCTTCTTCTTCTTCTTGTTTTGTCAATCATGGCGGACAGTGGTGGCGAGACCTGGTGCATTTTTCTAACCCTTCTCGGGAGCCATCTTTTCCCGGGGGCTGTCGCTGCGCACTGAATCCCGTACGCTTTGTTTCCTCTCGTTCTTCGCCGCCAGGTTCATTTCAACGAGGACAAGACCAACTACATGAAGCTGGACGTGGTGCTGGGGGGCCAGCTGGCCTTGCGCTGCGTGGAAGAGTTCCGCCCCACCAGCTCCGGCCCCCAGAAGGCCGAACTCAGGGTGTGCCACGTCTCCGGGCTGGTGCTGCTCAGGCCTCAGGAGACCATCAGGCTGCAAACCATCCCAAATGTCCAGCTGAAGGCGGACCGCTACCTCACCTACTTTGGCCTCTTCCAAGTGCACTGACCGGCTGGACCGCGGGAGAAACGGAGGGCCTGGGGGGGGCGGACAGGGGTCGAGTGGGGGGAGAGGAAAGGAGCAGGCGCTGGCTCTGTACGGCAGGCGCTCTCTGCGTCTGGCTGCGCCGGATCCGACCACGAGGGGCTTCACGTCCTGCTGACTCCCCTGTGAATTCTGCCAGACCCTCTGAGTGCCGAGATCTCCCTTTCCGGATTGTATAACTCCCCCACACGCGCCAAAGACTCCGCAGTCCATCTTCCTGCTCCCATAGGCAGGAAGGGGGCTGCCGTCGCTTTCGTTGAATCCTACAGAGAACATCTGGACCCCAGCTGCAGCTGTAAACCAAAAAGGCACAAAGCCCGCATATTCCCAAAGGTGTGGACTCCCTGGCCCGGTCGCCACATTTCCTTTTGAGGATTATATCGTCTTCCAGATGCTGCTACGCTTTCCTCTGCTGGGCGCTGCGCCGTTGTGAATTGCTATTCGTCTTCCAGATGCTGCTACGCTTTCCTCCTCTGCCGGGCGCTGCGCCGTTGTGAATTGCTACGCCAGAATTACTGTCCTGCCGTTTCCTTGTTGGAAGTGGCTGAACTCTTTCAGACGCCTTGTGCCAGCATCCAGACGCTGAGGACTTTGTAGATGGCGACCACCGGGAGGCCACATCTGTCTTTGCAGGCTGCAGTTCCCGTGACAGCCAGTAGGAGGTGTGACGAGAAACAGAAGGACAGGAAATGGCCAGCTTTGACTAATCCCGCCCACCTGGGCCAGCGAAGAGCCAATGGAATGACAGGAAACTTCCCCATTGGCTGAGGAAAGCCAAGGGAACCTCAAGGAACAGCCCTTGGGGAGATTTCCCACCCCTCCAGCTACTGACTGACTTTGACATGGGGCAGGGGAAGGAAACTGAATCAAGTGAAGGACCAGTCGAGATGGGACTGCAATTATTATCGCTGTTAACAAACACAGAACGAAAAATTTTAATGAAAACTTCTTGATAACAGAAGTCTTGTTGCCCAATAATTCTGTGCCTTGATACTCCCAGTTCCCAAATATGGAGAGCCTGGGTGGTGTAGTGCTCAGAGCAGAACCTGGGAGTCTCCAGGTTCGAATCCCCACTTCTGCTATGGAAGCTCGCTGGGTGACCTCGGGCCGGTCACACGCTCTCAGCCTGGCCTACCTCACAGGGTGGTTGTGGCGAGGATAAAACGGAGGAGTATGCTATGAGCTGCCTTGCATCCCCGTTGGGCAAAAAGGTGGGGTTGTAAATCTAGTAAATAAAAATGTATACATGGCTGGGATGGGGGGGGGGCACTAGGCATGATCCCGTCTCACCTCTCTGCTCTTTTGTTTCTTCGCCCTGTTGATTTCACATTCCCCACCCCCCACCCCGATGCATTCTCTCTCTGTCCTTTCCTCTGCGATCCAACCCACGCGGTACTTTCTGTCCTTACCGAGTCCTACATATCAGGAGGGGTGGGGAGAATGACCCAAAATACTGGAATCCCTGCTTGGGGTGGGGTGGGGGGTTGGTTACACCTGCAGTTGGAAGGTCCCCTTCGCATCATCCCTCCTGCTAAAAGTAACGGTGGCGGCTGAGTCAGGAAGGCAGAAAAATACTTCCCTTAAGGAAGGGGGAGCCCTAAGGAGCTGCGGTGGCTCAAGTGGTTAAGACGCTGAACTGCAGGCTGTGGAAGGTTGGAAGTTCAGCAGTTCGAGACCCGAGTGTGCCGCAAGACGGAGTAAGCTCCCGTCTCTAGTTCCAGCTCCTGCCAACCCAGCAGTTCGAAAGCAAGACATTGCAAGTAGATTAATAGGTACCACTTCGGTGGGAAGGGAACAGCGTTCCGTGCACCTCAGCAGCTAGTCATGCCGGCCACATGACCACGGAAACGTCTTCAGACAGCGCTGGCTCTTCGGCTTGGAAACGGAGATGAGCACCGCAACCCTAGAGTTGGACTCGACTGGCTTTCGAGCAAGGGAACCTTTACCCTTTTAAGGAGGGGGGAGTTCTTGCAGGTGGGGGGGGGCTTCCCAGGTATGCTGCCCAGTCCGTTGTTTTAAGAAAGAGGAAGGTCAGAAAGGCTCCCCCCTCCCCGCAGAAGTAGAGAAACGCCCAAATAATAGTGAGCAATTTCCCTGTCCCATCCCCTTGCTTTTATCACTTCCCAGAACAGGCTTTTAATTGTTTCTAATTCCAAAGAAAAATGGAGGGGGGGGTAGAGGAACTCTCCCAGACATGTGGGAGGAGGGGAGGGGAGCCCTCTCTGCTATTGAACTGCTGAGTATCCCCCCCCCCAATTTTCCCAGTTAAAGGGCCAGGAGGTGTAGCCCCCCCCCAGTTCCAAAGAGAATTACCAGCTCCAGGTTGGGAAATTCCTGGAGATTTGGGGGTGGAGCCTGGGGAGAGGAGAGGCCTCATGGGGGGTATAAAGCCATGGAGCCCAACCTCCAAATTGGCCATTTTCTCCAGGGGAACCGATCTCCATCATCCGTAGATCAGTTCTAATTCTGGGAGATCTCCAGGCCCCACCTGGAGGTTGGCATGGCAACCCTCATTGTTTCCAGCCAAGCAAGGCCCTGAGGGTCATCCCCAGCACCTGTGAGGAGAAGAAGAGGAGATTGGATTGATTACCCCGCCCTTCACTACCCAAAGGAGTCTCAGAGCAGCTTACACACTCCTTTCCCTTCCCCTCCCCACAACAGACACCCTGCAAGGTAGGCGGGGCTGAGAGATCTCTGACAGGAACTGCCCTTGAGAGAACAGCTCTGACAGAACTATGGCTTGCCCAAGGTCATCCATCAGGTGCAAGTGGAGGAGTGGGGAATCAAACCCGGTTCTCCCAGATTAGACCACCACACCAATTTATACCCTGCCCTTCACTACCCAAAGGAGTCTCAGAGCAGTTGACAATCTCCTTTCCCTTCCCCACAACAGGGACCCTGTGAGGTAGGTGGGGCTGAGAGGTCTGACAGAAACGGCTCTTTTTCAAGGACAGCTGTGCCAGAGTTATGGCTTGCCCAAGGTCATCCAGCAGGTGCAAGTGGAGGAGTGGGGAATCAAACCTGGTTCTCCCGGATTAGACCACCACACCAATTTATACCCCGCCCTTCACTACCCAAAGGAGTCTCAGAGCAGCTCACAAACTCCCTTCCCCACCCCACAACAGACACCCTGTGAGGTAGGTGGGGCTGAGAAAGCTCTGACGGAAACTGCTCCTTTTTCAAGGACAGCTCTGACAGAACTACGGCTTGCCCAAGGTCATCCAGCAGCTGCAAGTGGAGGAGTGGGGAATCAAACCCGGTTCTCCCAGATTAGAGTCCACGCACTTAACCTTCTCCGTTCCTTCACTCACTCCCCCAGCATTCCCTCTCTTCCTCCCTCCCTCCCTGTGGCTAACCATTTCCATCCTCTGGCCCAGGATCTGGTGTGCATCTCCATTGGCCAAGGGATGAAGTCATGCCTGTGTGAATGGAATGGAAGGAGAGTCCTGGGTTCAAGTGCAACAGAATGGCGAATGTACCGGAGGGGAGAAAAAGAGAGACCTGTCAATTGGAACCCCTGGGGTTTGATAACCCCAAAGCCCAAATGTCCAGAAAGAGCCCAAAGCGGGGAGATGTGAAGGTGGTTTAAAACTGGGGTGCCAACGTCCAAGGTAGGGTCTGGAAATCTCCCAGAATCACCACAGGTTTCCAGCCTGCAAAGATCAGTTCCCCTGGAGGTGATGGGCCCAGGAGAAACGGTGTGGTGTAGTGGTTAAGAGTGTTGGGCTGGTTATCTGGGAGACCCAGATTCAAATCCCCCACTTGTGCCATGGAGGCTGAGTGGGTGACCTTGGGCCGGTCACACTCTCTCAGCCTGGCCCACCTCACGGGGTTGTTGTGAAGACAAAATGGGGGAGAGGGGGCACAATGTAAGCCTCTTTAGGTACCCAATGGGAGAAAGGCAGGGTATAAACTAGTGCAGACTCTAATCTGGGTGAACCGGGTTCGATTCCCCACTCTTCCACATGCAGCTGCTGCTGTGACTGTGACCTTGGGTCAGTCACAAGTTCCCTCAGAGGTGTTCTCTCAAGGGCAATCCTCGAGAAAGCTCTCTCGGCCCCACCGACCTCACAGGGTGTCTGTTGTGGGGAGGGGAAGGGAAAGGAGATTGTGGGCCGCTCTGAGACTCCAAGTGAATGGTGGGGGATAAATCCAATCTCTCCTCCTCTTCTCAATTGTGGGGGTGGGCCGTGAGGCACTATACCCTGCTGAAGTCCCCACCCTCCCCAGACTTTACTCTCAAATCTCCAGGAGTTTCCCAACCTGGAGTTGGCAACATGAGTTTGTAGTAGTGTGCATTGCCGGGGGTGGTGCTGCTGGGACGGGCATCAGGCAGGGAGGCCTGGGCCGCGGGGAGTGCTTCCCTTGGTTCTGCTCGAAGGGCTAAATAACATCTTGGCTGAGTTCCAGGCTGGGCGGGTACACTTGGCAGCCGTGGGCACAGAGCCGCTTCCTCAACCCCCTTGGGGATTGCACAATCCACCGCCTGCCTTGGCACGGGCTCAGGTCCGGCGCGCCAGATGCTGCCAGTCCTGCCGTGGGGCACAAAGGCCTGTTTCAGCTGCGTGGGGCGTTCGTAACGGTGTCCCGTCTGGCAGCGAGCCCGTTCAGAAGGGCACGGACTGGCCGCGAGGGTGGCACCGGGCGAGATGGGGAGAGCTGGCGGGGCCGAGACGTGGGGTTTGCTCAGGCATCCCTTTGGCAGGAGGGCTCCGTAGGGTCTCCCTGGGGGCCATGGGGTGTGCCGTGGGGCATGCCGCTGCAGAGGTTCCTGAACTGGAAGGCCCTGGCAAGGCCAAAGGGGTCCCATAACAAGGGTAACAAGGCAGCTGGGCTGTACTGGCCGGGACTTTCGGCCTCCGTGGGAAGAAGCGGTGCGGATCCGACGCCTGGCTTTCCTTCCCAGCGCTGGGACAGTATTGTGGGAGTGTAGGTCCCCAGGCTTCGGGATCTGCCGTTCGGGGAGGAAATTGCGGGGGGTGGGGAGTGTCTAGGAATCGGATCGGGGAACAGAAAGGGGATCTCTGAGAAGGACTTTGTGGGCTCCCGGGATGCTGAGTCCAGCTGCCCCTCCAAGAAGAAAAGCCAAGGCCGGGCTGAGGCCGGAGGCCCACCGATGCCCCTCTCTCCTGGCGGCTTTCTGGGTGGGCGGAGGTGCCCTGGGGCTGGTCGCCTGCCTGCTCACCGTCCTCTGCCTCCACCTCCACCTGGAAGCCCTGCGAGGGGAGCTCTCTCAGCTGAGAGAAGAGCTGCGGACGTCCCAGGGGCACCAAGACGAAGGACCCCTCCAGGTAAGACAGGGCCTGCTTTGCACCAGCAGAGGGGCGAGGGGTGGGTCGGGGGAGAGGGAGGGAGTCACGCAGCCATTGTTCCCTCTAAGCTGAGTTAGTGTGAGCCTTTTCACAAGTTTTTTAGCCTCCGGCTCACACCTTTTTGTCTTCGCTCAGGGGGAAGGAGGGCTCCAGAGCAGTGTTTCCTCTAAGCTGAGTTAGTGTGAGCTAGCTCACAAGTTTTTCAGCCTCCGGCTCACACCTTTTGGTCTTCGCTCAGGGGGAAGGAGGGCTGCAGAGCAGACTGATTTATGCAGTAGTCCAATCACTGGCTCACAACTTTTAATGCCAGGAGCTCACCAAGTAGAATTTTTGCTCACCAGACTCCACAGCTTAGAGGGAGCGTCGGTTGCAGCGTCTCCGCAAGTGGAGGGGGGGCTTCAACAGCTTTAAGAAGCAGCCAACCCAGTGTCCGGAGGAACCCCCCCCCCCAGTTAATAAGTCAGCATGTAATGCCAATAAAGGTCTGTGAATTGTATAAGTAAGCGTGGCCTCTAGGCATGTGCAGAGCGCCGGGAGATGTGGAAGGAGGGTTGTGGCTCCTGTCGCCCCCGACTGAACGGTGCAAAGTTGCTCTTTTGACTTGAGCGGAGGCAGGGGTTGACACCTAGCAGCAGCTGGGCTTCTCCCCTCTGCTGGGGTTGCGGGATGAGACTCCGGCTGGATCCTTGGGGTGCCGCAGCCACATCTAGTGGCAGCTAAGCCGAGGAGTGATGCCAGGACATGTTTGCAGCACAGTTCTGCAAGCTGGAAAAGTCTCGGGGAGGGGAGGGATTGGTACAGTCTTCACGATAGGGGCCTGGATATTCCAGACCTTTTCTTTCCCTCGCCCCTCCCAAGCAAATTTGCTCTACTGGAAAGGGGTTGTTGGGGGGGGGAGGTTCCACCCCCCCCCCCCCCCCCCCCGCCAACCTCTCACTCAGAATGTCCTCTTGGCTCCCCGCCTTCCCCTTCTGCTTTCCGAGAAACCGGATTAGTTTATTTTGCACGCCAATAAAGCCAGCCTCCTCTTTGCAGCGGAGGGATGGCTTCTCCAAATCCCAGCTGGGCCCGTGGCCAGCGCTGGGAAGGGAAATTCGTTCCCATCCTTTGCCAGGAATCAATCAAAGGATAGGGGATAGACAGGGAATCCCCCCCCCTCCCAATGAGTTGGCAATCCTCATGCAAGGAAGGGCAGCTTGGGGGACTGGGAGTGTGGGCTATGCATATGAGAGCCAGTTTGTTGTAGTGGTTAAGTGCGCAGACTCTAATCTGGGAGAACTAGGTTTGATTCCCCACTCCTCCACATGCAGCTGCTGGATGACCTGTAGTTCTGATAAGAGCTGTCCTTGAAAAAGAGCAGTTTCTGTCAGAGCTCTCTCAGCCCCGCCTACCTCACAGGGTGTCTGTTGTGGGGAGGGGAAGGGAAAGGAGTTTGTAAGCCACTCTGAGACACATTCAGGTAGTGAAGGGCGGGGTATAAATCCAATCTCCTCCTCCTCCTCCTCCTCCTCCTCCTCCTTCTTCTTCTTCTCAAACTGAGACCTGGAGGAAGAAATGGGTCTCTGAGCATGTGCAGAGAGCTCCCTTGCCCGGGCAGCTTTGGATTCAAACCTCCCAGGAAGAGCTGCCCCTTAGTGGCAAGCTTAAACAGACTCTGCACGTGTTCTGTGGCGTGCAGGTTATCCTGAAACAGGAGACGAAAACCAGGCCCGTCATGTCGGCTCGTGAGCCTAATTTAAGGCTGGGGAAGTGGCCGCCTGGGCTCCCGGGCTCCCAGTGTCCCAAGACCAACCCAGTTCCTAATTCGTTTTCTCGACTTCTCCCATATCTAACTGTTCCCCTTTGAACTTCCTGTTCGTTTACTGCCATTAAGGGAGTGTGTGTGTGGGGGGGGAACACATTATTATTGTGTGCGCCTGCAAAACAGAAGCTGCATTCTGGTCACCTGCCAATGAACAGACCAAGAGGCCAGGAAACCGCTTCCCAGTGTGCCCCCCCCCCCCCCCCCCGCGTTCAGTGGTCCCTGCTGCCCCCGTGGCTTTAACGGTCTCTTCCGCATGCAGGAATGAGCCAGAGGTTACTTTCCACCATCGCTTTGCTGTGTTTTTGTTTAATGATTATTTCCCAAAAGATATACATTACAACCAGTGTTCCTTCTAAGCTGAGTCAGTGTGAGCTAGCTCACAGGTTTTTAGCCTCCGGCTCACACATCTTTGCCTTAGCTCGGGAAGGAGGGCTCCAGAGCAAGCTAATTTATGCAGTAGCCAAATCGCTCGCTCACAACTTTAATGCCAGCAGCTCGCAAAGTAGAATTTTGGCTCACAAGACTCTACAGCTTAGAGGGAGCATTGATTACAACCATAGTTTGAACATAGACAAAGAAAGAAAAGACGCCCAAAGAGGAAAAGGCCGCTCTGTCTTTGCATGATTCGAGCCCGTGTTGACTCAGCCTGCCGTACATCCTTCCCATGCCTCCATGCTGCTAACGCAATCCCTTTGCAGCTTTTATTTGCATTTATCAATCCAGTCTTGGATTTTCCCAAACGGTTTCCTGTTTCCAGTGCCTTGCAAAAACAATTCTTAACAGCGGCTGTTGTTAAGCATAAAATAAGCTGTTCTGCGGTGAAGTAACTTTCCGCATCTTGGGCAGCGGGTAATGACGCAGGAGCCATTTAGAAAATAATATGTTAGCAGCTGCACCTTTCAGTGAGTCTGTGAGCTTTTGCTTGCTAAAAAACGTGGGATGGGGTGCAATGTTCCCTCTAAGATGAGTTCGTGTGAGCTAGCTCACAGGTTTTTAGCCTCCGGCTCACACATTTTTGTCTTCGCTCAGGAAGGACGGCTCCAGAGCAAACTAATTTATGCAGTAGGCAAATCGCTCGCTCACAGCTTCAATGCCGGTGGCTCACAAAGTAGATTTTTTGCTCACAAAGACTCCACAGCTTAGAGCAGTGGTGGCGAACCTATGGCATGGGTGCCAGAGGTGGCACTCAGAGCCCTCTCTGTGGGCACGCGTGCCATCGCCCCAGCCAGGCCAAGACCATCATTAAAGTGTCAAATTCTCTGCCAAATAATTTTAAGTCAATGAAAGCATTTGGGATTGCTTTCCTTACTTTGTTTGTATCAACTTAAGTTAATGTATGGGTTGTTTTTTCTAAAGTAACACCTCCGTATTCAGGTTAAATTGCCGTGTTGGTACTTTGCAATAAATAAGTGGGTTTTGGGTCACAGTTTGGGCACTCGGTCTCTAAAAAGTTCGCCATCACTGGTTTAGAGGGAGCATTGGGTTTGGGGATCTGAGATAAAGGATTCTTGCATTCTCTCCCCACTCCGGGGAGCAAGGGCTGCCGGGCTTTTAAAAGACCAGCCATGTGGGGGGCGGGGCGGGAATTGTCCACTGGGCAGTCCCTTTTAGATGGGCCAATCAACAAATATTGCACTGCAAAAACCTTTTTTATAAGTTAAAGTGTTCTATATGTTCCATCGTATAAAGTGCATTGTGTATTATTCATAATATTCTAAAACAGGTATATATTCGTTACATGCAATATCAACAATAATAATCAGTTTGTACAATCTAATAGCTACCAGTCAATTTACATCCTTTTTACACAATCAACCCCGACGGGAGTTTCTAGAATTGTACACCCGCTTCTCCTTGCTTGAAAGTTTTCTAAAGGGGGAAGTTTCCTTTTGTGGTTACATTGAAGTTTAATTGATGTTTGTTGCTGGTCCTACAAAAGGCCCATTAAGCAGCTGACCTTCATAGACGGAGCACTCCTGTCTTTAGCTATTAGATTGTACAAACTGATTGTTATGGTTGATATTGCATGTAATGAATATATACCTGTTTTAGAATATTATGAATAATACACAATGCACTTTATAAGATGGAACATATAGAACACTTTAACTTATAAAAAAGGTTTTTGCAGTGTATATATTTGTTGATTGACTCTTCTAACACTGCAGGTGGAGTTTCCACATCCTCCAGATGGGGCCTGGATTTCTTTGGAAGTGATCTCCATATTGCAGAGATCAGTTCCCCTGGAGGAGACCCATAGGTCATTTCGGGGGGGATCACGGGGGATCGCAGTTCCCCCGGGTGAGGTGTGGGGGGGCTGGGCACATGATGAAGCCCCGCCCCCTGCTTCCGGCCGCCCC